ATTCTGACTGGGTCACCGGGTGGTACACTTGCTCCTGGGAAGATTAATCACTGAGTAACAGAGTTAATGGAGCTCCTTGGCAGAGGGTTACAATGAATTGGCTTTCCCCTGCCTAGCAGAGAGCCTCCTGCACTTTGGGGGCATTTCACTTTGTGGGTATGAGGCAGATCTTCCTTCTACCATAGAAGCTGTAAAGGTTAGGTATTTGCTTTTGCAGCTTCTATTGTGGATAGGTAGGAGGGGCACGTGATAAGGCTCGACCAATCAGAGCCCGCATTACAAAGACGTTGGGGCCTGAGGAGTCTATGGGGAGGGAAGGTGAGGCGGTGCTGGGACAGCCTGTCAGGGCTCACTGTGAGTTCTCACCAGATTGGCCCAGTAGCAGCACATGGTCCTACGTGACCTGGCATGCTTCATTCCTGGCCACTTCTAGAAACTTTCTGGTGATTTTGTGAACTTCTCACTGCCCTGCTAATAAATTCCTTTTCTACTACCATCAGTCAGGGATGCTTTCTACGGTTTATGATGAGCAAACACCCTGAGCTCCTTGGAATTAGACCAGAGCATTTCTAGGCGGGAGTTTGCTTCAGGGGAGGTGGCAGGAACGCTCTCTGCACTGGTCCACACGACCTCTCCAGTTCGGGACCCTTGTCGCAGTCCCACTGGTGTCCTTCGTATTGTGACATCCTTACCATCTCTTCTCTATCACACTGAGCAAATCTCCAGCAGGGTGGGATTTGGCAGCTCTGCTCTGATTTCACAAGACTTATTCCATAGCCCAAGTCCCCTCCCTCACACTTTGGACTCAGAAAGTCCTTTCTCTATTTTCCATTGCGATAACTCTCCCCTGACCAAAAATTGCCTCACAGCCCACGCAGGATGGAGAGGGGAAGAAGGTATGAAAAGGAAACACAAGCTGGTGGCTCACACCTGTAATCTTAGCTACTTGGGAGGCTGAGATCAGGCGGATGGCAGTTTGAGGCCAACCTGGACAAATAGTTCTCAAGACCCCATCTCCAAACTAACCAGAGCGAAATGAACTGGAGGCATAGCTAATGTAGTACAATGCCTGCTTTGCAAGCATGAAGTCCTGAGTTCAAAACCCAGTCCACCAAAAAAAAAAATGCCAGAATGGAAACCTAAGAGTTCTGTATTGAAAAAAATCATCCCATTTCACCATACTCAGGTGACCAATCACCTTGGTTTGCCTTGACTGAGTGGTTTGTGGAACATGGCCCTTTAGATTTTTTTTGGTGGAACCTGGGCTTGAACTCAGGGTCTCAGGCCTGCTAGGCAGGTGGTCTACTGCTTGAGTGACTCCACTGGCTCTAAAAACATGGTAAATTATTGACATGTATTTGGTTTTGCTTCTCAGCTCCTACCTATGTGACAATAAGGAATAAAAAAAAGTATTAACTCACAATTTAATAAGACACGAGAGGAGACTGGTAGCTTAGAGACGTCAGAAAGTTTTTGAAAAGCAGAGACAGAAAGGGAATAACTGACAAATCAGGGTAGCAGGTGACAACCAGAATGTTGGCAGAGGGGAATATTAGCTTGATGCCTTCCAGAGAAGAGGTGGATGCCAGAGATGGGAACAAGAGTCCCCCAGCATAGAACAAAAACACTGAAAAGAAAGAAATTAAGAAGAAAATAGGCTAGGTGCTGGTGGCTCACTTGAGAGGCTAAGATATGGAGGATCACAGTTTGAGGCCAATCTAGGCAAATAGTTTGTAAAACCCTATCTCCAAAATAACCAAAGCAAAATGGACTGGAGGTGTCAGTCAAGTGGTAGAGCTCCTGTTTCACAAGTGTGAGGCCCTGAGTTCAAATTCCATTCCCACCAAAACTAAAAAAAAAAAAAAAGATGGGAGGAACAATGAGGAAATTATGATCTGAGACTAAAAGGAACAACTTCTGATGAAGAGAGAAGTTCTTGAAAAGAAAAAGAAAATAAAAGAAGAAAATATCAAAAGAACTAATACAAGAAAATTTCATATTGGAAGGGTCTAGCTAACACAAGTGAAAAAAGCCCTTACTGAGGGAATCTTTCTAAAATATGATATCATAGATAAAGAGACTAGTCTAAAAGTTTCCAAAGAATAAGAGAGAGAGAGAGAGAAAGAGAGAACTCTCTGGCTGGAGGTAATAGCTCAGTAGTACAGTACTTGCCTAGCATGACTGAGGACAGGATTAAGAGTGGCACTAGATGGCTTAAGTCTAAATAGTAGAAACTGTAGTGCAATTATTTTTCTGAAAGAAAACAATTTTTTGCCTAGATTTCTATATGCTGCTAAACTATTAATCAAGTGTGAGAACAGTATAAAGACATACTTAGACACACAGGACTAAGTTATGTGTTTCCCAGTACCCTATCTCAGGAACATACTGAAAGATGTGCTATACAGAAACGAGGGAGTGAACCTGCAATAGAGAAGACACAGTGTCACCCAGGGGCAGGACAGAGGAAAGCCCAGTATGATAGGTACACAGTAGGCCTGAGGAACACTGTCCGGATTAGAGTGGAAGTCTTTAAGAGAAAAAAATAAAAAAATAAGTAAATAAAATAACTAACCATCTGTTGGGTTTAAATATTTGGCCAAATCATTGCTATTGGTCCAATTTACCAAAAACATAGAAGAAAATTAACAATAGTTACAAAGAAAACTAATAAAAGTGGAAAAGACTTGAAGCAATTATTAGCCTCAGAAAATACCAAAAGATATGGAAAAAATGACACAGAAACAAAAGGAAGCATGAACATAAGCACATACATGACTTGGCTAAGAAGACAAAAATATTTGTAATCAATGAAAAGTATTAATCATATACGAACTAGAACAATGAAACCTCTTGCAATTGCTTTAAGTGGGACAGGAGGGAGCCGAAGAGGGGGAGATGATGGGGTCAGTTTAACCAATGAACAGTGCAAGCCTATTCAGAATTGTCACAATGAATCCCCCCTGTACAATGAATATATCCTAATAAAAATGAATGATAAATTTTGAAAAAAAAAGAAAAATATTACTTATCAACTGAACTAATTAGATTAACAATGGGTAGGGTGGGTTAGCAGGGAAGGGAAGAAAATTGGGGCTCAAAGGCTGATTCAGAGTTAGGTATCTACTTGTTATGGCTTTTTTGTTTTTGTTTTCCTTTTTTTTGTTTTGGAGATGGGGTGTCATTTTGTAACCTACTCTGGGTTTGAACTTGTGGTACTGGGGTTACAGCATGTACCATCACACTCAACTTGTTATAGCCTTTTGACTACAAAAAGCCTCTCAATGGCTTAATCCAGTAAAAGTTTATTTTCTTGTCTAACTTGAATTATCCAGTTTAGATGACTTCTCGGCTAGTTGTCTTCTCAGGGGTATCTCATTGATCCAGATTCTCCCTATTTTATAGCTCAGTCATCTCTTAGGGCCTCAGAGTTCTTTAAAACACTTTACTTTAAAGTAGAGAAAGGGGTTCAGAGTATAGTTCAGTGGTAGAGTGCTTGCCTAGCATGCACAAGGCTGTGGATTAGAAAAAAAAAAGCCAGGCCTGGAAGTTCAAGCCTGTAATGCTAGTTAATTGAGAGACAGAGATTGGGAGGATATAGGTTTGAGGCCAGCCAGGTCAAAAAGTTCAGGAGATCACATCTCAATGAATAGCTGAGCACAGTGGTGTGCGCCTGTCATCGTAGCTACCTAAGAAAGCACAGATAGAAGGATTGTGGTCCAAACTGGCCCAGGCATAAAGCAAGACCCTGTCTCAAAAATAGCCAATGCAAAAAGGGCTGGTGACTCAAGTGGTAGAGTGGCTGTTTAGCAAGCAGGAGGTCCAGACTTCAATGCTCAATAGCACCTAAAATAAAGTAACATAAAGTAGAGAATGCAAAAATAATTAATTAATGGGAGGATTTAATGGACATCATATTCAAATAGCCAGAACTTGGTCTGAACAAGGAAGGCTGGGAAATGTAGTTTAGCTATGTGTCCAGGAGCAAGAAGAAAAGTTTTCTGGAGCAAAGTAGCAAGGAACATTGAGCCCCTATGATGAACCAAGCTTGGGTTTAGGCATGGGGCATGGCTCAAACTGAACAGAAGACTCTGTTCTCATGGAGTTTCTACTTGGTAGGGAGCAACAGGTGTGAGTTCCTTTGGGGGTGGAACCCTTCTAGGCTATTGTGGCTGGAACAGACGGTTTGTTTTGTTGTTTTTTATGGTACTGAGGATGGAACTCAGGGCCTTGTGCATGCCAGGGAAGTGCTCTACCACTAAGCTACACCCAGCCCCTGGTAATAGTGACTTTGGATTTGATTGTATGAATGGCAAGACTCCATTAAAGGATGTTAACCAGGAAGCAACCATGACCCGTTTTAGGTTTTTAAATAAGCCTGGTCTCTGGAAACTGGATTGGCAGGACAGAAAGAATAGAAGCAGAGAGACTAGATATTGCAGATCGGCTAAAGATGAGGATGGCCTGGACTTGTTTGGAGTAGTAGCCCTGAAGACGGAGAAATAGATGGGAAAAATATTTGAGATGCAGACTAAAGGACATGGTGGCTGATTGGATGTGAGGGGTGATGGGCAGGTAAGAGAGGAGTCATTGAGTGGACCCTAAATGGTAACGACTGAGGCACGAGATACCAGCGGATACTCAGGCCCCCTGGCGCTCAACTCTCACTCCTGTGCAGGGGACCCATCAACGCCATCACACACTGGCCCCGCTCCGCCCCGCCCCGCGGGCCCGCCCTGTCAATGGCCTGTGTGCTAATAAAGTTCTTGAAATTGACGCCGGTTGCTAAGGAAGTAGGTCGCTGAGCCGGGTTGCTAAGGAAGTGAGCGGCCGCGGTCTCTCCCCATCCGGGGCAGCAGGGAATGGCTGAGCCTGGGGTTTGCCGCCGCCGCCCCCGCCCCCGCCGCCGCCGCCGCCGCCGCCGCCCGCTTTTGGCCCGGGCCGCAGGTGAGTCGGGAGGGGCCGGGTGCCCGCCGGGCGGGGCTGGTCCCAATGGCCGCCTGGCATCCTCCGCGGCCCGCGCCGCTGCCCGCCTCTGCTGCCCCGCAAACCCGAGCATCCTCTGCTTTACCTCCAGGCATCCTCCGGCCGTCCGGGCGGCCTCGCTCCTTCTACCGCCTCACGGCTGCAACCTGACCCCCCAGAACTTGCCTCCCAGGGTCGGAGTCCCCTGAGGGGGAACCTGGGGCGGTGGTCAGGGCACCAGCCCGGATGCAAGAGCCTCGGGTCCCAACCTCGGTGCTATCCCTGGTTCGCTGTGTGACCTTGGGCAAGCCCCTTCTCGTCTCTGGCCTCAGGTGACCTGTCTGTCCAGTGGGGCCCTAACACCTGCTGCGTGGTTAAGATGATAAGATACCCTAAATGGGAAGAGGGGGAATTGTTAGGGCACTCTCGCAAGGGGACCGGGAGTCCTGTTTGAAGTCTTCAGTGTCGGAGTTAGAGACTGCATCTCCACTTAGTAACTGTGTGGCCTTAGGCCATTTTGCACTGGGGGAAACTCTTTGAGCCTTATTTTCCTCACCTGTAAAATGGGATAGTGGATACTGTGGGGATCCAGTGAGACAGAGTATGTTAGGTAGCTTGGCACATGGCAAGTACTTAACAAGCTATTGTGAGGCATCTGGGGTGGGATGGGCAAGGCTTCCAGGAGGAGATGACTTTAGGACAAGTAGGATTTAAGTGTGTAGCTTGCTAGCTCACGTGGCTGTTTCTGTCCCCCACTGTTACTTCTCCATTCTGTTCAGATTAAGGGAGATAGTTGACTTCTGCCAGCAGCCCTGGTGGGAGAACCTTAGGTCAAGTCTGGGCTGGTGTTACTGACTTATTCTTCGCTGTGACTTGTTGGCAATTCCAGAAGAAGAAGAGTGACTGTGTCTTTAAGTATATGATTTAGAAGCACATTTCAGGTATATCCTCCTGTTGAATCTACATAGACTTTGTCAGGCAGTTGGTGATGTCACCCCCATCTTGCATATGAGGAAACCATGTTTGAGGAAAATGACTAGCCTCAGAATCTTAGGCCCATGATGTGATGGAGGGGGGCATATTTCCAGTGTATCCCACAGTGTATCCATCTTCCTGATGCCTCTGCTTTTCTCAACAGTAGCTGTTCCAAGACCACAAGGGTATTCTTTGGTTCCTTCTAACAGCTTTGGTTAGAGGCTTCTCTTCCAATGGTATGGAAACAAGATCTCACTCAAAGCTTCATTTAAATAGATCCCATCCAACGTGAGGTTCTTAGAAAAGAGCTGGAATGTTCAGAAGGGGTGATGGGCTCCTCTATTGTCCCTTGGTCCCCTCTTTAAAAATGAGGGATGTGGGCTAGATGTTACTGAAGGCCCTTTCTGTGCTGTTGTGCCGTCAGGAAGCTGGGTTAGAATCTTGGCCTGCCACTTCCAAGCTGTGCCCCTGAGTAGCGGACTTCCCCCTTGCAGCTGCAGTTTCCTCATCTGTAAAGCTGGGGTAATAACGGCTCATCACGTAGCCTTACCATTTTAAAGTGCCTGGCACATTTGGGAAACGTTAGCTGTCCTTTTTTGGGGTTAACGTGACACCTCTATTATAAATTCTATTTGTGGTTGGTGAATGAATCAATTAGAGTCTGTGATGATAATGCCACTGACAAGGTGGCTGCAAGCCTTATGTAAATGCTGGTGTTATAACAAGGTTGATCCAGGAACTGGCACTACCATGCCAGAATGGGCTTCGAAGGAAGGTGAAAGCTGATGGGAGGATGCTAGGTTTGGTGGCTTGACACCCAATTCAGTAAGTGTTTAGTAAAATCCCTCTATGGGATTTACAGGGAACATGTCCCATCTCCACATCCTTCAAGGAATCCAGAGCTTAATTGGAAAATTACTGACATTTGACATGATTTGACTTGACTTTTTAATTTGAGATGAGGCACTCTTGCTATGCAGCCAAGGCCGCCTTGGATTCCCAGGTTCAAGTGATCCTCCTCCCTTGCCTCTTGAATCGCTGGGTCTTCAAGTGCATGTCAACAGAACTGGCTATGATTTGAATTTTTTTTGTGGTACTGGGATTTGAACTCAGGACCTCACACTTACAAGGCAAGCGCTGTACCATTTGAGCCACTCTGCCAGCTCTATTTTTGTGATTTTTTTTTTTTCAATATAGAATCTCACGAACTATTCGCCTGGGCTGACTTCCAGCCGTGATCCTCCTGATCTCTGCTTCCTGAGTAGTTAAGATTAAGGGTGTGAGCCACTGGTGTCCAGCTAATAATTTTTGTTTAATTTTTGGTGGCACTAAGGTTTGAACTCAGTGCCTCACACTTGCTAGGCAGGTGCTTTACCACTTGAGCCACTCCACCAGCCCGCTGATTTGATTCTTTACATGATTTATTTTTTGTGTTTGTGCTGGCCACAATGTAAAGCCGATCTTTTTTTTTGTGTGTGGTACTGGGGTTTGAACTCAGGGCCTACACCTTGAGCCACTCCACCAGCCCTTTTTTGTGATGGGTTTTGTTCAAGATAGGGTTGTGTGAACTATTTGCCTGGGCTGGCCTCAAACCATGATCCTCTTGAGCTTTGTCTCCTGAGTAGCTAGGCTTACAGGTGTGAGCCCCCAGTGCAGGCTTTAATTTAAATCTCTTCTGTTGTGTCCTGAGACTTCTGTTAGGCCCCTGGGTAGGAAGCCTCAGGTTGCTCTCTACCCCTTGTCTTCTTTTTGAGAAAGGGTCTTGCTGTATAGCTCAGGCTAGCATGTGATTATTGGCATGTACCACAACACATGGCTCATGACTTTTTTTTTTTTTTTCTTTTTATGGTGGTACTGGAGTTTGAACTCAGGCAGGTAGTCAACTGTTTGAGCTATGCTTCCAGCCCTTTTTGCTCTGGTTATTTTGTCCATAGGGTCTTGATTTTTGACAACAGAGGCCTTCTTTAATTCTCCTCTATTTTACACTTTCCACTGTAGCTGTTAGTTGGGATGCCAGGCAGGCGCTATCATACCCAGCATTTCCCATTGAGATGGGCATTTCATGAAAGTTTTGATTGTTTATTTAATTTCCTTTCTTTCTTTCTTATTTATTTAATTTCATTAGTGAATTTATTTATTTGGCCTGGGCTCACCTGGAACTGTAACCCTGCCAGTTTCGGCCTCCTGCATAGCTTGGGATGACAGGTGGGAGCCACTGTGCCCAGCTTACATTTACTAATTTACAGGTCACTGGTAAAGCGCTTTCTCTTATGGTGCCTAATGTGTTAAAGAAAAAAGTGTTTAAATGTGCCTTTACATAGTCAGTCTTATCCAGAACTCTTTGAGGAAGGTAAGGTGCAGATTAAGATCTGTAGTACAGAAAAGGAAGCGAGGGAGAGAAACTGCACTGCTGGGAAGTGGCCCATGTCTTGTGTTTCTTGCCATTGTGCTCCCTCAACTTCATTGCCTGTGTGTGGTGCTCTCTTGCAGCCTAGGGCTGTGACGGTGGAAAGGTGCAACAACGAACAGCAAAATAAAGCAACAGATGATCAAGGTAATTTGGATGGGAATAAATGCTCTAAAAACAACACAACTGCGATGGCATAGTTGCTTCTCCAGGGCATTGGGTAGCCCAAGAAGGCTTCTCTACGGAGGTGACAGTTTTGCTGAGGTTTGCTCCCAGGAAGGAGCCAGCTGTTTAAAGATGTGCCAGGAGGAACAGCAAGGCTAAAGGCTCTGAGATCGGGCTGTGGGCGTGGCTTAAGTGGCAAGAGTGCTTGCCTACCAAGCTCGAGGCCCTGATTCAAACACCAGTACCACCAAAAAAAAAAAAAAACGCTGAGGTGGGAATGAGCTTGGTAAGTTCCAGGAACTACAAGAAGGCTCAGGTCGTTGGGACAGGGAAGTCATGGGGAGGATGGAGAGGTGGGTGGATATGTGGTTGGGGTGGAGGGTCTCAGTTCATATAGTGCCTTGTAGGCTGAAGTAAGATGTCGGAATCTTACTCTAAAAGCAGTGGGAACCACTGAAGCCTTTTTTTTTTTCTTGTTTGCTTATTTTGTTGGTACTGGGGTTTGAACTCAGGGCCTCACTTGTTAGGCAGGTGCTCTACCACTTGAGCCAATCTGTCAGCCCTTTTTTGAGTTGGGTATTTTCAAGACAGGGTCTCAAGAACTGTTTGTCCAGATTGACCTCAAAGGTGACCCTCCTGATCTTTGCTTCCTGAGTAGCTAGGATTATAAGTGTGAGCCACTGACACCTGGCTTAGTGAAGGCTTTTTAAGTAGGGTAGTGACAGGTCTGGTGGAGTGGCTGAAGTGGTAGAGTGCCTGGCCAGCACACATGAGGCCCTGAGTTCAAACCCCAGTACTGCCAAAAAACAAACAAAAAATTGCCTGGCACTGGTGGCTCACACCTGTAATCCTAGCTACTCAGGAGGCAAAAATCAGGAGGATCACAGTTCAAAGCCAGCCTTGGGCAAATAGTTTACAAGACCCTATCTCAAAAATACTCAACACAAAAAGGACTGACAGAGTGGTTCAAGTGGTAGAGTGCCTGTCTAGCAAGCATGAGGCCCAGAGTTCAAACCCGAATACTACCAAAAAAAAAAAAAAGGCAGTGACATGATTTAGATTACTTTGAAGCCCAGTACTGCCAAGAACAAAAGAATAAAATTATTCTCTTGTGGTACATGCCTGTAGTCTCAGCTATTCAGATTACTCTGGGGCCAGGTGCAGTGGCACATATCTATAATCACAGCTACATATCACAGCACATATCTGTAATCACAGGAGGCAAAAGTTGAAGGATCTCAGTTCAAGGCTGGCCTTAAGCAAAAACACTAGACCCCATCTGAAAAATAACTAAATCAAGAAGGGCTGAAGGCATGGCTCAAGTGGTAAAGCACTACCTGGCAGGTACAAGGCCTTAAGTTCAAACCCCAGTACTTCCAAAAAAAATTAATTAAAAACACAACTCTGAGGGCTGGGGGTGTAGCTCGGTGATAGAGCACTTGCCTATCATGCACAAGGGCACAGGGCTTTGGGTTCAGGCCTCAGTACCGAAGGAAAAAAAATCACTCCGGCCTTTATTTGGCCAGTGAATTTTAGAGGGCATTAGAGAAGCAGACAGAGACTAGTTAAGAGGTTAGGTGAGAGGAGATGGTGGCCTTCTAGGAGGGGGCAGTGGAGGTGGTAAGAGGCTGAGTTGGGCATGTTTTGAAGGTAGGACCAGCAGGATGGCAAGGGCAGTGCAATTAAGGATGTCTCCTGGGTTTTTGGCCTGAACAATCAGGTACGTTTTAGAGGTGCCATCTGCCTCTAAAATGACAAGGGGACTCTGGCAAAGTGCTGATGAGGAAGAATTAGCTGTGTCCACACTGCACTCCTCCGAGAGGCTCAGGTGTGCACATCATACCTTAGCATCTGGGGGGAGGAAATCCCACCTTCTGCTGAAGGAAGACAGCAGGTGGATCTGACCAAGCCCCCATCTTGGACATCCACAAGCCCTGCTTTTCTGCCAGGCTGGCTCTTGGCCAGCTTGGGGTACAACCTTGTAGGCTTTTTTGGGTCAGTGCCCATCTGTCTCATGCTTTTGGCATTGCTGCTCTGACTTGGGATCTTGGCGGATGGAGGCTGGAAGGAGGCTGGCCAGCTCTGGGAGAGAGTAGAATTGCTAGCAAAGTTCACTCCCAATGCCTCAGATGGCCTCACTGTCCCTGCCAAAGTGCTTCTTTCTGGCCACTGAATGACAGGACTAAAGTTTCCAAGCTTTTTGGACTTGGGAATCCCTTGAAATGCTGTGTGTTCTGCCAGAATTCCTAGAGGATCCTTGAATAGAGTATTTCTTGTGAGCAAGGGGATTCAGGCGTCATTTCATATACTCCATAATCACAATTGTAAATTTGGAATTACTGTGCTGTGCATTCAACATTGTGACCAGCACCACTTGTGCAGCTCTGTTTGCATTCTCACTGACTGATTTCCAGGCAGTTGAGAGCCTGTGGAGGCTACGTTATCTCCAGCGTACAGATGGGGACGAGGACATGAGAGAAGCCATAATCACCGCAGGGACTGGGCTCCTACAGCTCTTCTGTTCTTAGTGGGTCTTGCATGGTAGAGACACCCATGCCCCTGGGAGCTTGTTAGAAATGCAGAATCTGTTCCTGGATCTAAAGAACCAGGGTCTGTATTTTCCCGAGATTTCCAGGTGTTCTGCCCACCTTGCAGTTTGAGATACACTCAGGTAGGACTTGCCAATGATAATGTCAGTGAAAGTACTACTAGTAGCCAGCGTTTATTGAGTCAAGCACTGTCCTAAGCACTCTACACAAGTTTGTCTGTGTCCACAGCAGTTCTGAACATCAGTGCCACACTCTGTTGCAGAAGAAGGCAACCACATGGCTTGCCCACCTCTGGGGACGCTGGCTCCATTGCTCGCCCTTTCTTTTTTTCTGTGCTACTGGGGTCTGAACTCAAGGCCTTCACCTTGAGCTACTCCACCAGCCCTTTTTTTGTGGTGGGCTTTTTCAAGATAGGGGCTCAAGAATTACTTGCCTGGGCTTGGCTTCAAACCATAAATCTCCTGATCTCCTGATCTCTGCCTCCTAGTTAGGATTACAGGTGTGAGCCAGCGGCACCTGGCTCCATTGCTCTTTCTGCGCTCATTTGCTCACTAGTTTTATGTTTTTCTTCTCTCTTCTGTCTTTTGCCTGGGATCCAACTGAAGGCCTCTTGCATACTAAGTATGCTGTCTACTACTGAGCCCCACCCACAGCCACATCTGCTTTTTAGGTCCTCACTGACCGCATCTTTGAGATCTGTTCAAAAGCCTTTCTGTTCTGTACCTGGGTGACTAATTTGAAATGCTGATGACTTCAAGGAAGTGAAAAGTGACTTCAAGGAAGGTTTGAGGAAATCAAGGGGAAAACCCTCAAGTTATTTTGGTGGAAAGATGGGCGTCAATTACTCTACTTATGAAGCCACAGACATCCAACTCAGCAAGATAGGCTACCTCTCACACCTGGAGGTGGTCTCAGTCCAGGCTGAGGCAGGTAGGGACCCTGAGCTTTTTTCTCTCAGCTTTCCTGTCATTTAGCCCTAAAGTGTTTCTGAAGTCCGGTGATACATCTATACCGGGTGAGAAGAATGACTCAAGTCCTGAAACACCACTAACTGTAAAAGATTTCATCTGGGCCAGGCACTGGTGGCTCACACCTGCAATCCTAGCTACTCAGGAGGCAGTGATCAGGTTTGCGATTGGAAGCCAGCCCCGGGAAATAGTTCTCGAGACCCTATCTTGAAAATACCCATCATAAAAAAGGGCTGGCAGAGTGGCTCAAGCTGAAGGCCCTGAGTTCAAGTCCCAGTACTGGAAAAAAAAAAGATTTCATCTGGTATCCGATGATACCAACTAGTAGCCTCAGTTTCCCTCTTTGTCCTATGGGCTCATTTATTTTCCTTTCAGCATCTCCTGTCTCCTCAGGAACTCTTAGAAAGAGTTCATGGTCAAAGCCTGTGCCATCAAGAGACTCGGACTTGAAAGGCAGCAGGACCAGGTGGAAGTAGAGTAGAGTAGCAATTCTGCCACTCTCTTTGTGGCCTGGGGCAAGTTACTCAACCTCTCTGACACTGAGACAGACCTCAGTGTCTGTCTCTATCTCTGTGTGTAAATGTATTTGTACACATATACGTATGCATACACAAGATAAAGACACAGGTAGTCCTTTCCAAGACCCTTCCAGCCCCACCCCAAAGACCCAACCTTGAATTAGGTGATTTTTTTGTTTGTTTGTTTGTTTCCTGTGGTGACTTCATGCTAGGCTCTTAGAGAGTGGGGGCTCTTAGGGCCTATTTCTTGGCAGGGGACAGCTTCACAATCAGCTCATCTTGTCAGCACCCCATCTGCACTTTGGATGTTTCTGTCTAAGGCTCAGTTAATCACGGTGACACATTGTGTCTTCTCACTTTGTCACTCTGATTGTAGACATTGAGCTCCTCACTACAGGCGGATCTATCTTTAGTATGCTGATTTATTTAAATTATAATTTGCATCAGAGCATGAACCAGTGATGTGGTGGTGTGGTTTTATTTTTAAAGTTTTGGCAAGATATTTGCAGCTCTTGCATTTTCTTACCCTTGACCATAGTGTATAGATTGAAGTGGGTCCAAGTGGAGTAGATTATTGGGATTTTGCCCTTGAACACACTGTTACCCATGCTGGGTCCTTCATATCACCTTCAGCAGTGGCTTCAGAAAGGGCTTGCTTGGCCTTTTATGTGTGACATAAATTAAACAGAAACCAAAAGCTCATAGCCTGGTCTCCAGCAGCACAGTAGATTGCAGTAGTCATTACTTTATAACCCATTTCAAAATCTAGCTGGTAAATCAGTAAGATTGAATGTCAGCTCATGTTACTTAAGATAGCCACAGGAAGATAGGCCTTGGTGGAAATGGGTACTGGTTTTGCAAGATCTGCAGTAAGATTCAGTTAGATTCTAGCCTATGAAATAGTGTTTTCCCTTCTGTAGTTCTTTAGTCATCAGCCTTTATAAAAA